CGGAACTGCATCGTCCCACGGGTGAGAAAATTGTGCTTGAAGCCGACTTAGGCAAATCGCAAACAGACTTGGCGAGGCCAGCGTAGAATCGTCCCCACCTCCTCTTCCCGAGCTTCCCCGGTTTGATTTCCCCTCCGCTTTAGGACGGAATGATAATGGGCGCATCGTCGTGCCGGCGATGGCCACACCAAACCCACACCACAAGAAGGTGGCCGCTCAGACAGGAAGGGGGACTCGGAGATGCACCCCCGGGGTGGTATTTAGACGCCCTCCCATCGAGAATGGACGCCCCCAATCGTATACCCGAGTTTTGCTTATCTTCCGCGGTCAAGGCGAAGTTCCCACAGAGTCGGTGACTGGGGTCGCCACACGCCTCGGTCATCTTCGTCGGGACCATCCTCAGCCCGAGAGTGGCACAGGGTACAGTCGGGGCCCTGAGGAAGGAACCCTTTTCGTTGGGGAGGGGCTCGGTGTTGCTCAAGTGTTTCACAGCTTGCCTCAGGTTTTCCTTCTGTTTTCGATGGCAAATCGAAGGTTGTTTTCCTTCTGTTTTCGATGGCAAATCGAAGGTTAACTTATGGAAGAAAGGGGCCTCGTTCCTCATTTGGGGTTCCTTAGGTCAAGGCCCCGGCTGCAGGATGCGTAGCCTCCCCAGCGTGCCCCCGCTGACTCGGCCGGCGTTGGCACCCCGAGGCGACAAGAGGACGAGAAAGAGTCGCAGCCTCGATTTTCGCCGACGTGCCCCGACGCCCGGGCCGACGCCGACGACGGCCACGGCGAGACGACGCCGACGACGACAGCGAGGCGACGCGGGCGAGGGGGGCCGCCCGCGGAGCCCGCCCGCCAGCCGCCCAACGACGACGACGAAGTCGTCGACGACGACGACGACGCCGACGCCGACGACGACGACGACGCCGAGACGACGGCGACGGCGACGGCGACGGCGACGACGACGACGACGACGACGACGACGACGACGGCGACGGCGACGACGACGACGACGATGCCGACGACGTTCGCGCTGACGTTGGCGCTGACGTTGGCGCGACGTTGGCGTTCCCAGACATCCGACGTCTTGACGTCACTAGGGGACCAAAAAGTGACATAAACATTAAAAAATCTGAGTTCCGCGCGGATTTCTCGGATCGGCGCTGGGGCCCCCCGGCGCCGCCTCCGGCGCCGCCTCTGGCGCGCTCCGCGCGCGCCGGGGGGGGGGGGTCCAGCGCCGATCCGAGCAATCCGCGCGGACCTCCGAGTTTTTATGTTTATGCAAATTTTTGTTCCCTTAGTTTCCCACTGCGGGCCCCCCAGAAGTCCCGACCCCGTTCCCCGGGGCGGGTGCTCATCCCGAGGCGTGGTTCGGCGGCCCCGTGGCCCAGCATGGGGGCCCGGGGGGGCGCCTGGAGGCCGACGACGGCAAACAAAAGACGTCACGTCTTGAGTTTGTTCACCACTCGGGCATAGGTCGGCCTTGGCGCCGAGACGACGAGGACGACGACGACGACGACGACGACGACGACGACGACGACGACGACGACGACGACGCCGACGCCGACGCCGACGCCGACGCCGACGCCGACGCCGACGCCGACGCCGGCGACGGCGACGGCGACGGCGACGGCGACGGCGACGGCGACGGCGACGGCGACGGCGGCCGCGCGCGGGGCTGCCGGGGGGGCCGCTCGCCGAGAGAGGCCGCGGTGGCCCGCGGCGTGGACGTCTCGGCGCCCTACGAGCCCTGGCTGCCGGCGGGGCCCGCGGGGCGGCTGCGGCGAAGACGACGGGCGGCTCCCCGTCCTCCCTCTCTCCGGAACTTGGAGCATATACGTTACCAGTGGCGGGCTGCTCTGCACTCCCAGGAATTTTTGAGGGTCGGGGGCGACGTCGGGGTGGTGTGGTGTATACTTGTTTCCCCGTTGCCCCGTGGAAGCAGCAAAGAATGTGTACACCAGGATCCCGTATACACCAGGATCCGGTTTCCTGTGCGAGTTCCAGAGCGGGGCTGGAAAAAGCGTCGGTCTATAGAGTGCGGTTCCTTATCTCTCCTGTCGCTCCTGTGCAGTCGGGCGTGTCCCTCTACTGTAGGAATATTCAGAGATAGTCAACACAGAATCTGGGGACGATTTTTGTTTTACTACTTTTTATGTTTCGTCCAAAGTCCCCCTGCAGGGGGACAGGCCCGACCTAACGCTCCTCCCTCCTGTCGTCCCTCCCTCCTGTCGTCCTCGCCTTCCTCCGGTCGTGCCTCTAGCCCCAGCCCTCTGCTGCGTTCGAGCTTTGCCGCGGCTCTTCCAGTACGTCCGGACAGCCGCAACCCGCCAGAACACCTGGGCGCCGGCGCCCGTTCGAGCCCAGCGGCACGCCGCCAGGAGATACAGTCGGGGCGCTGAAGAAGGAACCCTTTTCGTTGGGGAGGGGCTCGGTGTTCCTTGATTGTTTAACAGTTTGCCTCAGGTTGTCCAGAGGATTTCCATGGGAAACGGAAGTTCAACTTTTGGGAAAGAGGGGCCTCGTTCCTTATTTAGGGTTCCTTAGGTCAACGCCCCGACTGTATGGGCCAGGCCCCATCCTTTCAGACAGTGCTGGAGGTGCCACCCGCCTCTGGACCCCTTTGTCCACGGGATTGCGGGAGTGGTATTGTGCGTCGCGCGCTTGCTGCTTCGTCCGCCACAAATGAGTCCCAGATCTCTGACGATTCGAGTTTTTTCTGATCCTAGCGTTTTTCCTCGCTTTCGGCCCAGGGACCGTCACCGGGCCCCGAGGCTATCAGAAATAGAGATTCCGGACGGAAAGCTACGCAAGCAGTCGCGAGCTCTGTGGCCGCGGATTGACAAGCTCATACTTTTGGGGATCGGGCAATGATGGAAACTTCGAGGGCCGACGTTCGAGGTCTGGGTTTTGGATCGACTCGGCGGCAAGTGAGGGGGGGAAAGTGAGAAGGAGAAGGCTCTCTCAGAAGGCGGTGGGGCTTCTCAGAAACCCCCCGCGCATTCCGAGAAGTTTTCTGCGTCTTCTGGGGAGGCGTAGAGCACTTCTCAGAAGGCCGGGGGACTTCCGAGCCTTCTGAAAAGGCCCGCCCCTGCTCACTTTCCCCCCCGGGCTCGCCGCCGACATGAGGGAAGTGTCGAGGGCCGACTTTCGAGGTCTGGGTCTTGGATCGACGCTTTGCTGCCGTTTCTGGGCCGCCTGGGTCGTTCTCGTTGCCACGCCAGGGCTTCCCTCGAAGCTCTTGTCGGAACGGACCCCAGGTGGGGTCCAGCGGCCAGTTTCTGACCCCCCCGGGATCGTCTGGGGCCCGGACCCGAGTCGCCGCGAAGGAAATGGCCCTTGACCCCATCCGGGACACTTCAGGCGGACAGGACAGCACAAGCCAGCACGGCAGTGTCGCGGGAAGCGGCCCAGCCCTCAAAACCTCCAGGCTGGACGCGAGAGGGCCCAGAAGGGGACACCCTGGGGGAGGTGGGAGAAGGAAGAAGAGGAGGGGGAGCACGAGGAGGAGGAGGAGGAGGAAGAGGAGGAGGAGGAGCAGGAGGGGGGGAGGGGGAGGGGGAGGTGGAGGCGGAGGAATCCTGCCCGCTCTTTCGTCTGGCAGGGGCGGGAGCGGTGGCTGTCCATGGAAGGATCCAGCCGTCGCTTCAGAACTTCCTGCGCTATTTCTCGGCGTCGTCGCCCCGAGGGCCACACCCGGGCGCACTGGCGTGTTCGCAGCCTCCCCCACGCCCTTCCACTGTTCCCCTGTAAGCCCTCCCCTTCCCCCCTCGTCCGTCCCTGCCCCCTCCGTTCGCTTGCCCTCATAACCAATCCCCTTCATCATGATGGCCTGTGTCCCTCAGCCTTCTCCTGCCCTGCCTCGTATTCTTCTTCCTCCCTCTCCTTCTCCCGCTCCTCGCTGTTGCCCCATAGTTTTCCCCATCCAGGTGATTTCGCTGTTCTCTCTCTCTCTCTCTCTCTATATATATATATGTATTCTCTCTCTCTCTGTCTGTCTCCCTGTATATCTCTCCTTCTCTCTCCCTTTCTCCCTCTGTCTCTGCCTCCCTCTCTCGTCGTCATTCATATCCTTGTTCCTGCCCTCGTGTTAACAGTCCTTCTCCACCCCTCCTGTTCCACTTCCGCTTCCTGCCGCTCCTGCTCCTCCTCCTCCTCCTCCTCCTCCACCTCCTCCTGCTCCTTCTCGATCTCCCTCACGGTTTTCCCTCTCCCTCCTCATCCGTCCTCCTCCGCCTCCTCCCTCTTGCAGTGTGCAGCGTTCACCGTCGATCCGTTCGTGCGTTCCCCTCCTGCCTCTCCCGCGTCCTGCTCTTCTCCGCACCTTCTTCCTTCTCTTGCTCCACGCGCGAGGACAGGTCAGCGCCAGCACGCCCAGCCGGCCAGGTGGGCACGATACACACCCGAGGCGCAGCGAGCCGAGCTGCACGACCAGAGCTCCCGAGGCAATCTTCCTGCCTCGCCTCCTTGGACGAGTCGATCCCGGGGGACCCTGGGGCTCGCCTTCGCGAGCACCGCGAGGGGCGCCGCGCGGGGGGCCTCATCGGCGCCCGCGACGAGGTCGCGTCGCGCTCGACGTGACCATTGCAAGCCCTCCTCCTGCTCCTCCTCCTCGCCCTCCTCCTCCTGCTCCTCCTCCTCCTCGTCCTCCTCCTCCTCCGCCTCCTCCTCCCCCTCGTCCTCCTGCTCCTCCTCCTCGTCCTCCTCCTCCTCCTCCTCCTCCTCCTCCTCCTCCTCCTCCTCCTTCTCCTCCTCCTCCCCCCCTCTTCCTGCCTCGTCTCTTTGGACGAGCCGAAGGAGCGGAGCAGAGCCGCCAGTCGCGCTCTTGCCGCCGAAGCCGAGACCTAGGGGGACGCGCCTGGCCCAGATCTCCGAGGTTCTGTCTGCTTCGTCCGTGTGTCGGGCGGGAGTCCTGGCCCACTCCCCGGGGCACGTTTTTCCTCCAGCTTCTTTGTGATGGCTTCAGGGGCCCGAAACGGCTCCCTGAGGAGGAGGAGGAGGAGGAGGGGGAGGAGGAGGAGGAGAAGGAGGAGGAGGAGGAGGAGGGAAACGGCTCCCTGAACTCTGAAAGCACGGGTTTAGCGAGGGAGTGCGGCAGCGTCGGAGGCCTGGTGTGTTGGCTGCACGTAGGGGTGGCCTTGCGCTGGGGCTACCCTTGGCGGGGCCCACCTGCGGTGTCCCGGATGGCTGCATGCGAATGTGGCAGCAGCCGCTTGCGCGCTTGGGTCTCGCCTCCCCGCGCCCCCCGCGAAAGCCGCGCACCGGAGGCCACTCTCTGCCTGGGGCCACTCCCTGCGTTTCGCCGACGGGGGTGGTCCGGGGACGGCCAGGTGGACATGATGCAGACCTTGCTGCTGCAGGTGCACGACGCCCTCGGCTGCTCCTGGCTCGCGGCCATCGTCATGGCGTGCGTCGGTGCCCGCTCCGGAGCTTCGGCCCACCGTGCGGTCTCCTGCAGGGCTCGGCTCCAGAGCTCCGCTGCGAGTCTGGGAATCATGCGCGTGCACTGCCTGGTACATCGATATTCCTGGACCTCGAAAGCCAGTGGATCATGATATACGTATATGCACATACATTGATGTATATGTATGTGCAGATGTGTATGTATATGTGCATTTAGATATATGTATAATTCTAGGTCTATGTATATTATATGTATATGTGTATGTATACGTATTTGTACGTGTATATGTATAAGTATATGTATACGTATATGTATATGTATATGTATATGTATATGTATATGTATATGTATATGTATATGTGTGTATCTATATGGGCTCCAGGGGCCCCAGGGGAGAAGGAGGCAGGTTCAGGCGGTGTTGCTGGTATTGTTTCAGGCTTGATTCTGGCGTGGACCCACGACTGAAACCTAGTGAAAGCAATGCAAGGCGATGCAACTCAACGCACGCAGTGCAAGGCAATGCGAAGCAGTGCACATCATTGCAAAGCAGTGAGAGCACTGCTAGCAACATCAAGTCAAATCCAGGTAAAAAGGGAACGATGCAAAGTAAAGCCCGTCAACGCCATTTTATGCAAACCAGTGCAGGCACTGGTAAAACGATGTGAACTGGTGCAAAACAGCGCAGCGCGATGTAAAACGGTACAAGCAAATCACTGCAATGCAAAGCAGCACAAACCAATGCCCACCAGTGCAAGTCTATGCAAGTCAATGTAGCGTTGAGCAGACTGGAGCAAACCAGAGCAAGGCAGCGCGAAGCAAAGCGATGCAGCGCAGTTCAGAGAACTGCGTAGCAACACACGCGAGGCAGCATCGGGGTGGCGACGTGATGGCGTGGCGGCGGCAACGGGGCGTCAATGGGGCGGCAAAATTGCGGCAGCCGGCGGCAGGGGGTGCGGCAGCGGGTCTAGATTTTTGAAGTCGGGCCAAGTTCCCTGCCAGAGAAGGCAGCACCCCTTGGGGCAAGCATCTGCGTTTGGGGAAGCTTCGTTCAAGCGTCTCTCGGGGGGCTTCGGGGAACAGTGCAGTCCAGACGCTGCTCTGGGGGGGGCTCCGGCTTCGGGCCGCTCCCTGTCCAGATCGTGGAGCCCGTTCGTGTCAGCGCGTGGCCATGGCTAAGAGAGCGCCGTCTTTCTTTGTTCAGCGTTCCTCGTGGTAGCACGATGACTGCAGCAGGCGGGCCGTGGCAAATGAAGGAGATTGAAGAGGAGGAGGAGGAGGAGGAGGAGGATCAGGAGGAGGTGCAGGAGGAGGAGCAGGAGGAGGAGGAGGAGGAGGAGGACGGGAGAGGGGGGGAGTGAAGCAGAGGAGGAGGAGGAGGAGGAGGAGGAGGAGGAGGAGGAGGAGGAGGAGAAGCAGAATAATGACCCGTCGCCATTTTGGGTCCAGGCTTGAAGCCATGGTCGCGGGATTTCGGTCTGCGGCTCCCGCTGCGTGTGCGACGTTCGCGACGTGCCGATTCCTGCACCTACCGCTCACACCAGTATGTGCGCCGTTTTCTGTCCGTGTTTCTCCCCACATGTCCAGTGCCATGGCTCATGGCGCGGATGCGGTACAGTGGAGGCCCATGCTAAGAAACAACTTGCTTGCCTCCGGGGTGCCCTGGATTTCTTGTGTTTCGATGGTTTTGCCATGGAAAGCGTGGCGCTCCCACACCAAAAATCGATGGACGTCCTGGGGGTCTCAGGGTTGGGTTTCTTGTGGAAGGTTTCTGGTGGTCGGGCCCCCACCGTAATGTTCGACGCGGGGCTCGAGACAGTCAACACTTTCCCGACGCAGGAACGTCACTGCCTTGGAATTGAGCCCCGTCCTGAGCACCCTTCTTTTTCTAATGATCCCGATGGTCGTCGTCAAGCGCCCGAGGCCACGCAGACCGAGGTGCACGCAACCACCTAGCAGATCCAGTCCCATATGTAGACCATGCCCGCCAATGTTCTCGAATGTGTAGAGGGTGCTTCACGGATACACGTCAAGTTCCCGAACTTCGACGGGATGCGTCGAGATTCACAGGAATTGCTTGCGACATCAAAGAAGAGCGTCCCCTTTCCCAGCCCGTCGATCCCGATTTCCGTAGAGAGGTCGGCGCGACTATCATTGTGATTCGGTGTACACTGCCTTCGCCCCGCGGATGGAACGGAACAGCAAGAATCAGCCCGTCAGAGACCACTCTCGAAGGAGAGTCCGTTTGCTCGTCATTCAACCTCCGCACTGGCGACAGCAAAGGGTTCGATGAGCGCAGAGGTTTTCAAACGCTTGGCATCTTGAAGCACCGTGACGGTGGTCACGAGATGTTCCAGGCGCCAGATACTAACGGAACCCACATGACATTTGATGTCAGGCGGTACGATCCCAGGGATGGCGAGCAAGGAGTTGCACATCCAGAGAGCCAGAGGAGTCATCAACCGGTACTGCCTCGCCCTCCAGCGCCTCGGCGGCAGGCAGACGTGCGAGCTCACCCGCGCGCGGAAGCGGCTCCTGCGGATCGCAGCCCAACGAGGAGATGAGGCACTCTTCGTACTCTCTGCGAGCAAGGATCGCACTGGCACTGGCATCGCCACTGGCCACTTCCGAGAGACCCTCCGGTTGACCCTCGCCAGCCCGAAGGTCACTGCGACATGGAGCCTGCGCCCCGCGGTTCTCGCACTGGCGCGGCCCTGCGGGCACGGCGTCGGGACGATCTGCTGGCAGCGCGGAGCTCTCGCGCCCGCTCCAGTCGCGACTCCAAACTCCGAGGTGTCAAAGTTGGTGTCTTTTGCGGGCAGTACTTATATCCATATCCAGAGCGTCTTGGACTTTTCGGGAAGAGGTGCCGCAAGGCCGAGGCGCACTGGATATGGATAAAATCAAGCCTCTTGGGGCCAGATTTTTATCCATATCCAGTGCGTCTACGGTTTCTGGGCAAGAGGGCCCAAGACTCCAAGACGCATTGGATGTGGATCTAATTATTGCCCGCATCTTTCGTTCTCTTCTACGTTCTTGATTCTTTCGTCGGCCCAGAGAGTCACGGGTCATACTTAACTTGGGAGTGCGTGAGACTTTCTACCATGCGCATGGGCGGACCGTTGCCACGTTTCTTCTTTGCAGGGAGCCGCAGGCAGGGGGCGCCAAAGTTTGTTGCCTGCATGGTGCTTCGTGGCGGGTCAAGCCCTCCCTCCCCCCTGCGACTCGGGCGCGAGCTCCGGCGCATGGGAGAGCCCTCGATATCCCGACAGACTTCGGCAGGGGCGGCTGGCCCAGCCGCCGCGACCTCCACGACTTCGGGCCCTCGGGCGAGCAGGGAAGCCGTTCGGGCGAGGCCCTGGCAGCTGCGCCTTGGCGCTTCCGAGGGCCTTCCTTCGGGGCCGCGCCAGGAGGCGGTCGCTGGCGAGTCCGGCGTCGCCACCTGCCGCCCTGGCGTGCGGGGGCCAGGCGTGGCCCCAGCAGCGGGCACTCCAGGGCTTTCGCGGACACTCGCGTGAGACTGTGCTCTCGGGCCGAACGAAAGGGGGGGGATAGAGAGAAAGGGGGTTTTACGAAATCTGCTGCATGCAGCTGGTGTCGGCCCCACCGAGGGGCCCATTCCTCGATACATGGCCGCCTCCGACGCCGGGAGGCGCCGGGAAAATCAGCCACGTGAGCTGATTCTCAAGCCCCCCCTTTGCTATCCCCCCCTTTCGCCCGACTCGATATTCGGGAGCCTTGAGACGGGGGTCAATGCCAATGGGGGTCAGCCAGAGCGCTCGATCTTGCAGTTTCCTGCAGGGCCAGGGTCGCACTGACCCGGGCTTGGGTCCTGCAGGATCTTGCAGGATCCTTTGCACTGGCCCGAACTTGGGTGCAGGATCTTGCAGGACCTTGCTCGGGGGCGGCAAAGAGGGGGGTGATGACTAGGGGGGGTGGATATCATGGCGGGGGCCATGATATTTCCCCAGGTTTCATGGCGCCTCTTCTTATTTCATTACGTCCCTGGCCCCCCCGCTGGGCCGCGCACATGCCGCCGGTCATGATTTGCGCCCCCTCCTCTTGGACACCCCCCTCTTGGCCGCTCCCGACTTGCAGGATTCTGCAATGGCTGGCTGACCCGGACCTGGATTGACCCGGGTCAGAAGATCCTCGATGGATCAAGGCATATCGTGGCGGGCACGACGCGGCTTGCACGGGCGTCTCAGGGCGCGGGTCGGGAGTTTCAGGTGGAGGATCCGCCCCGGTACAACGCCGTGCACGGGCTGGTCGTGGTTGGGCAGCCTGGCAGTTCCACGGGCCGGGGCATGGACCGGCTTTCGATGGCAGGAGAGGTCGCCGGGATGTGGCGAACATCCTTCGGCGGTCAACTTCGCCTCCAGTGGCGCCCCGGCTGAAAGGGAGCGTCGGTAAGCTTCCTCCGAGGCGTGTGCACGCGTCCCTGGAGCGCCAAGGTTTTACCAAAGTTCCCAGCATTCCGGGATCAGGACTCGCCCCCCTTCTTCAGGCCCTCAGCTTCTCGGCCAAGATGATGGGGCCAGCTGCCGGGGCCGCGAGGACTGCAACGGCGGCGAGCTCGTCCTGCGGCCTCATTTTTGGACACCCGCAATGGGCACGGAAAGAATGGGTACAATGCCCAACAACAAATGTTGTCCCAAACCAACAGCGGCCGCTGTTGGGCAGGCGGCCTTATGTCTCGCATGGCACAGGCCGCGGCGGCGCGGACAGCGAGCCCTGTTCAAAATGAACAGGAACTGCTATTGGGCACTGTACCCATTCCTTCCGTACCTCCTCCTCCTCCTGCTCCCCCTCTCCCTCCTCCTCCTCCTCCTCCTCCTCCTCCTCCTCCTCCTCCTCCTGCCCCCTCCTCCTCCTCCTCCTCCTCCTCCTCCTCCTCCTCCTCCTCCTCCTCCTCCTCCTCCTACTCCTCCTCCTCCTGTTGGGCACTGTACCCATTCTTTCAGTACCCATTTCGTGCGTGCAGGTCATTTCCCGGCCGCAGGGCCCACGGACCAGGTCGAGTCCCAGAGCGGGCCAGGTCCCCATCGGCACCCACGCGCTCGGGGATAGGCGGTCGCTGTGCGCACCGCCCGCGGCAGGCCTGCCCGCCTCCCTCGACGCCCAGAGCGGCCCAGCGACGGGCGGCCCGACGAGATTAGGGGAACAAGAAGTGGCATAAACATAAAACCTCGGAGGTCCGCGCGGAGTTCTCGGATCCGCGCTGGACCCCCCTGGCGGCGCCTCCAGCGCCGATCCGAGAAATCCGCGCGGACCTCCGAGGTTTTATGTTTATGCCACTTGTTGTTCCCCTAGAGATGCTGCGGCGAGGGGCGAGGCCAGAGCTCGGCCGAGGTCGGCGGCGGCGGTGGACGGACCCCGACGGCGACGAGATGGGCGGCAGGCGCCCCGAGGCCCCGCGGGCGCCTGCGGGGCGCGGGGCGGCGCCGAGCGGCGCCCTTTGACAACGACGGGGCCGTCGTGCGGCAACAGGAGGAGGAGGAGGAGGAGGAGGAGGAGGAGGAGGAGGAGGAGGAGGAGGAGGAGGAGGAGAAGGAGGAGGAGGAGGAGGAGGAGGAGGAGGAGGAGGAGGAGGAGGAGGAGGAGGAGGAGGAGGAGGAGGAGGAGGAGGAGGAGGAGGGAGAGGGGGAGCAGGAGGAGGAGGAGGAGGAGGAGGAGGAGGTACGGAAGGAATGGGTACAGTGCCCAACAGCAGTTCCTCTTCATTTTGAATAGGACTCGCTGTCCACGCCGCCGTGGCCTGTGTCCATTCGAGACATAAGGCCGCCTGCCCAGCAGCGGCCGCTGCTGGTTTGGGACAACATTTGTTGTTGGGCATTGTACCCATTCTTTCCGTACCCATTTCGGGCGTCCAAAGGAACGGGCTGCAGCCCAACCGGTCCTCTACGTTCACCGGGGCGCAGTTTTCGGAGTTCTCGGCGGGGCGGAGACGACCCAGACCCCCGACGTCGTGTTTCTTTTACAGCGTCGACCCCCCCAGAGGATTGGACCTCCTCCCCAGGACCGGTTCTTCATCCTGAGTCGATTGGTTGACAGTCCCGAGGCCTCGGTGAGGGCCCCTGGAGGCCGAAATTATGCTAACGGAGTTCCCCACATAAAGAGATTAACGGTTTCGTGGGACCCATGTTCTTGATACCCTCCTCGCTCAGGCGGGGCCTCCCTGGAGGGGTGGGAGGGGCACGAAACCTGATAAATAACAGGTGATGCGAATACCCTCCTCGCTCAGGCGGGGCCTCCCTGGAGGGTGGGAGGGGCACGAAACAGGTGATGCGAATACCCTCCTCGCTCAGGCGGGGCCTCCCTGGAGGGGTGGGAGGGGCACGAAACCTGATAAATAACAGGTGATGCGAATACCCTCCTCGCTCAGGCGGGGCCTCCCTGGAGGGGTGGGAGGGGCACGAAACCTGATAAATAACAGGTGATGCGAATACCCTCCTCGCTCAGGCGGGGCCTCCCTGGAGGGGTGGGAGGGGCACGAAACCTGAGAAATAACAGGTGATGCGAATACCCTCCTCGCTCAGGCGGGGCCTCCCTGGAGGGGTGGGAGGGGCACGAAACCTGAGAAATAAATGGATGTAAATAGTAGGGTGGTATTCCGATACCCTCCTCGCTCAGGCTTGCCTCCCTGGAGGGGTGGGAGGGGCACGAAACCCTGTAAATAACCGATACCACCTCGCTCAGGCGGGGCCTCCCTGGAGGGTGGGAGGGGCACGAAACCTGATAAATAACATGTTTCGAATACCCTCCTCGCTCAGGCGGGGCCTCCCTGGAGGGGTGGGAGGGGCACGAAACCTGATAAATAACAGGTGATGCGAATACCCTCCTCGCTCAGGCGGGGCCTCCCTGGAGGGGTGGGAGGGGCACGAAACCTGATAAATAACAGGTGTTCGAATACCCTCCTCGCTCAGGCGGGGCCTCCCTGGAGGGGTGGGAGGGGCACGAAACCTGATAAATAACAGGTGATGCGAATACCCTCCTCGCTCAGGCGGGGCCTACCTGGAGGGGTGGGAAGGTGCACGAAACCTGATTAAATAACATTGATGCGAATTACCCTCCTCGCACAGGCGGGGCCCACCCTGGAGGTGGGAGGGGCACGAAAACCTGATAAATACCAGGTGATGCGAATACCCTCCCGCATCAGGGCGGGCCTCCCTGTGAGGGGTGGTAGGGGCAACGAAACCTGATAAATAACAGGTTATGCGAATACCCTCCTCGCTCAGGCGGGCTCCCCGGAGGGGTGGGAGGGGCACGAAACCTGATAAATAACAGGTGATGCGAATACCCTCCTCGCTCAGGCGGGCCTCCCTGGAGGGGTGGGAGGGGCACGAAACCTGATAAATAACAGGTGATGCGAATACCCTCCTCGCTCAGGCGGGGCCTCCCTGGAGGGGTGGGAGGGGCACGAAACCTGATAAATAACATGGTGTGCGAATACCCTCCTCGCTCAGGCGGGGCCTCCCTGGAGGGGTGAGGGGCACGAAACCTGATAAATAACATGGTGTGCGAATACCCTGCCGCTCAGGCGGGGCCTCCCTGGAGGGGTGGGAGGGGCACGAAACCTGATAAATAACAGGTGTGCGAATACCCTCCTCGCTCAGGCGGGGCCTCCCTGGAGGGGTGGGAGGGGCACGAAACCTGATAAATAACAGGTGATGCGAATACCCTCCTCGCTCAGGCGGGGCCTCCCTGGAGGGGTGGAGGGGCACGAAACCTGATAAATAACAGGTGATGCGAATACCCTCCTCGCTCAGGCGGGGCCTCCCTGGAGGGGTGGGAGGGGCACGAAACCTGATAAATAACAGGTGATGCGAATACCCTCCTCGCTCAGGCGGGGCCTCCCTGGAGGGGTGGGAGGTATGGTATTGGTATGGTATTGGTATGGTATTGGTATGGTATGGCTTGGGATGTTATTGGTTTGGTATGGTATGGTATGGTATGGTATTGGTATGGTATGGTATGGTATTGATATGGTATGGCTTGGTATGGCTTGGTATGGTATTGGTATGGTGAGGTATTGGTATGGTATGGCTTGGTATGGTATGGTTTAGGAGAAGGACGCGGGAGGAGGAGGAGAAGGAGAGGGTGTTCTGGGAAAACAAGAACCCCACTCAGGATGTGGGGAAATAGCAACAACAACCTCCCGTCGTGATGCCTTCATGACCCGAGGGGTGATATTCGGGAGGGGAGAAACAAACACACAGACACAATTAATCGTCGATTCCCCCGGAAAATATGGGAAAATATGGGAAGTGGGGGGGAAGACAAAATCCAAAAATATGGAAAAATATTTGGGATCCTGTGTGTATTTATTTGTGTGTCCTTGGGCCCCTTCAGCTATCCAGGCCTATCCAGGACTGGAGTTCCACTGGCTTCCAGGCCCTGGGTTCCTCATCTAAGGGTTCCTTGTCCAATGCCCCCGCCGGGCGGCGGGCATGCCACGGGCACATAACCCCTGTGCTCTTTCGGGCTGGCGTGGTCGAGCTTTTTACGGCGTCGGTCCATGTGCTCTTTTTGGTTGGCGTGGTTGTGGATTTGATGGTGGCCAGATGGGTCCTAACCTCCCTTCACGGCGTCATGGCCCGATCTCCCTGTCCTCGAGAGAGTTGCTGGTTCCGGACAAGAACGCGAGAGAAGCACACCCTCCGCTACTGCTATACCAGGAAGCTGGCCACCACGACGTGGCGTGCCTGGGCGAGGGCTGGATACCTCTGTTTTTGCATGTACTCCCAGCGATCGGCTTTCGCATGGCCAGGGAAGCCAGCCGTCCTCATGCGTATCCAGCGTGTGGCTTCCGCATGCTCCGCCTGCGAATGGTTCCGCGATAGACAGGATGCTGTTCTGGCCGCCGCCACCAGCTGAGCCCGCCCCGTCAGGTATCCGAGCGATTACGCTGCCGATCAGGAGAGCTTCTTTTTTTTGTTGCGCTTCTCGCACCCAGCCCCATCCGAACTCCTGGCATTGATACTTGCAGCTGTCCCTTCCTCGCAAGTCACGCCCACTTGTCCTCCAAGGTCGGGGTTCGTGGCAATATCAGGTTTTTGCTGCGCTTCTCGCACCCCGGCCCCATCCGAACTCCTGGCGTCGATACCTGCAGTTGTCGCACAGTCAGCTCCTCATCCTTCCCGATGCCCACCCCTTCGTCATCGCCGCGGCTCTTCGACCCTGCCTCCCTCAGGAGGAGAAACAACAACCAGACACCAACTCATCGTCGATCCCCTAGAAAACATTTGGAAATATGGGCAGGGGGGGAAGACAGAAGCCCCGAAAATATGGGAAACTATGGGGTATCCTTTTATTTGTGTGTATTGATTTGTGTGTCCCAGGGCCCCTTCACTCCCGCATTCCCTCACGTGCCCGTCTCTACCCCGGCTTTCCTGCACATGGCGCGTGACGAGGGGAGGAGGAGGAGGAGGAGGAGGAGGAGGAGGAGGAGGAGGAGGAGGAGGAGGAGGAGGAGAGGAGGAGGAGGAGGGGAGGGAGGAGGACGCGAGGACGGGAGGACGCGGGAGGAGGAGGAGGAGGAGGAGGGAGGAGGAGGAGGAGGAGGAGGAGGAGGAGGAGGGGAGGAGGAGGAGGAGGAGGGGAGGGAGGGAGGGAGGGAGGAGGAGGGGAGGGAGGGAGGGAGGAGGGAGGGGGAGGGAGGGAGGGAGGGAGGGAGGGAGGGAGGGAGGGAGGGAGGGAGGGAGGGAGGGAGGGAAGGGAGGGATGGGAGGGGAGGGAGGGAGGAAGGGAGGGAGGAGGAGGAGGAGGAGGAGGAGGAGGAGGAGGAGAAGGAGGAGGAGGAGGAAGAGGAGGAGGGAGGAAGAGTCTCGATCCCCGGCGTTGTCAACAAGGCCACGGCATCCTGGGAAAACCACGCTATCCCCCGAGGTCATCTCCAGACATGTCGACACGTGAGGGTCTGATGGCCCGACATGTTGCCCGGGGGTGTGGAAGGAGGAAACTGAGCACCAGATGTGCTCGATGTAATGGCTCCGGAGCGGCCCGACTGACCCCCAGCAAGCCGATCCCTTCTGGGCCGACCCCTCCCTCTTCCTCGCTTCGCTCCAAGATGCAGGCAGGCAGCTGCAGGGAAGCATCGTTGGTGAGGGGTCCGTCACGAAAGGAGCTCGTTCTGGAAGGGGTCGGTCATGCTGCGCCCGAGCGGCATCATTGCTGCGCTTGGTCAACGTGCTTGATCATGGCCCCTGGTGTCTCCCCTCTGGTAGCCTCCGTCCCTTCTGGCTTCGCCCTGTTCGTTCTCCTCCTCTTCGTCGTCCTGTTCTTCCTCGTCCTCCTCGTGCTTCCCTGGGGTGGAATCGCCCGCCCCCCAGGGCGTTGGTAGCCGTTGACGGCAAACGAGTCCGCCTCCTCGTCCTCCTCCTCGTCCTCCCCCTCCCCATTCATCTCGTTCCGCTCTCCCTCCTCCCGCTTCTCGGCTCGCAGGCATCCCCGGTGCTTCTCCCTCGTCCGCCTCTCGCGCTTCTCCCTCGGTCGTCCTGCGCCGTGCCTGGGCCGGGGGCTCCCCGGACTGCTTTTGCCTTCTCTCTCTCTGCGGGCCCGGGGGGGCTTCTCCCTCGGGCTTGGCCCTGCTGACCTGCGCGCCACGGCTGCGGGGGGCGGAGTGGGAGTACAGTCAAGTCGGGCACGTCCCTCTGCAGGAGGAGCATCCCCAAATGATCAAACATAGGATGGGGACGATTTGTTCCACGATGTTGGGATCTTTTTTCCAAATTGTTTTGACAATGTTTCATTGTTCGTCGAAGATCTTCGGGAATCCGCCTGTAGGAGGACACGCCCGACCTCAGAGCACAGTCAACCCGCACAGGAAGGATGGGCAGCTTCCCCCAGGGTGCCCTTGCAGCCTTGCCTCCTCGGCCCCTCCTTGGCCACTCTCGTTGGCCGCGCCCCGCTCGGAGAACAGAACAGCTTCGAGGGGGGCGTCCGAGGCCCTTGCGTCCTGTCTGTCGCGCATCCTCGTATGAGCCGGGCCGGGGCCTTGAGGCCCAGACTCCACCCAGTGTGCCCCAGCGATGCGGCAGCACGCCCACCTCCGTCCCAGGTCCTCGCCTCTCGAGCACCTGCGCACAGGGCCCCAAGCGAGAGACGAGCGCGCCCCCCGGCCTCCGGGAGTCCAGGCGAGGGAGCCACCGCGCTGAAGAGCCGCTGCCGCCCCTGCCTCCGGCTGCAGGGGCGGCGACGAGCTCTGAGAGGGGTGGGGGGAGGGGGGCAGCGAGGGAGGGGGGGGAGGGAGGCAAGGGGAGGGGGAGGGAGGGAGGGGGGGAGGGCGGGGAGGGGGGGAGGGAGAGGGAGGGGGGAGGGGAGCGAGGGGGGGAGGGAGGGAGGGAGGAAGGAGGGAGGAGGGAGCGAGGGGGGAGGGATGGGAGGGGGAGGGAGGGAGGAGGGGGGGAGGGAGGGAGGGATGGGGGGGAGCGATGCGGCAGCACGCCCAGCCCGTCCCGAGGCCCCGCCTTTCGAGCACCGACTTGCAGGGCCCCAGGAGAAAGACGAGCGCCCCAGGGCCCCCGGGAATCCCGGCGAGGGGGCCCCGTTCTGAAGAGCAGCTGCCCTCCCTGCTGCTGGCTTGAGGTCGGGAGTGTCCCTCTACGGCGAGAGTATTCAAAGATCGTCCCCAGAACAGTCGTGTGACGATGTCTCGTGCTCTATGGATCATGCCTGCGTATGTTCTGACTGTGCTGCATTTGTCGATCAAAAACCGCATGCGGGAGGACATGCCCGACCTACTTCTAGCTAAAAGGACGGCGATGGATTCTGAGGGGAGGGTGGCCCGAAGGGTCTTACACACCGTTCCCCAGGTTCGTGGCGGAAGTGTAACTGCGAGACGCGGAGTCCTGTTGCTGTTCTGTTGTCAACGTCCACCCTGCGATCAATCTGCGACCCACCCCACGACCCATTCGCGGCCCACCCACGTTGCTTCGACGAATAGATCGACGCCTGCGGCAGGCTCGTTGTCCAGTGCCAAAAACACAAATCGCCGCCAGCGGCGGTCTTCTTCAGAGCCCCGCAGACTGCCGACGATCCCGCGGCACCCTCACTCTTATTCTTACGTCCGGCCTGTCCCTCTACAGGAGGCAGGTTCAAATATAGCAAAACATCGTACGGGTACGATTATTTGAAAATCTATGTTTGCCTATGTTTGGGGTGTTTTCATTTCTCCTCCAAAATCTGCCTATAGGGGGTCATGCCCGATGTAAGCTTCTCCGCAACTGCGGCGGCCGTGGACATCATGGGAGTCCAGAGCCAAAGGGGTCCAGCGAGAGCCTCCTCTTTGAGAGAGCGCCGCCTGCACTCCGTGCACGCGAGTCCCGCACACGCTCGTCTGGTGGTGGCGAGGTTGGCCAACCTGGGCCCAAGGCAGCCAGTGCTTCAACTGCAGATGTGTACCCCTCGGTCGTTGAACTTAGGCTTTTTCCGGGGCTCCCAGATCCCAGTTTACTTCAGGCGCCTTCCTGCTGCAAGAGTCGACATGCTGGTGCGGAGTGTTGCTGTTATCCGGAAGGGCCTGACACCAATATGCTGTATCAGCCTTCCTATTTCCTGTTTGCTACCTACTTCTTCCGACCGACGTGTAAGCCATTTGGTACGAGCTACGTGGTGCAGCTAACGCTTGCCAACTCATGACATGTCCACCCCACTCATGCGCAACCATCTCTCCTTCCCACCCACAACTTGTTTGGCAAAGCCATGTTTCGTGATTGTGATGATTGCTTGGTTATGGCTGGCGCATCTCTGCGGCAGCGCTGACGCGTGCAAGCTCGCGCGCAGAGCGGCCAGCTGGTTTGGCACAGCGGATGCGGCCGCGATGTTGGCAATTTCCCAGCGCGTCTCAAAGGCCGCGCTGCCGCGCATGCACTTCAATGTGGGTCGGCGACTCTGGCGGGCGCGGTATCATCATGACGTCGACATTGGCGGCCACGATGATGATAGTAGCGATGGTGGCGATGATGACGATGATGTTGGCAATTCCAATGACGGCGCCGATGGTGGTGACGACGATGACGATTATAACTTCCATGCGTCGGGGAAAAAGGGGCATTAGTGATGACGGCGGCCATGGTAGCGATTTTCTGTAACGATACCTTGCTTCGGCGGCGCTGATGAGGGTGATGGTGCGCAAGTGCGCGCGCGGAAATCCAAGAACCCTGGCGACCGCCCTGTTGAAAAACATTTGGTGTTTCATAGGTGGCTGCAGGGTTCTATGTGGGAAATTATTCGAAAACCCTGCGTGCTGGAAGGGGGTCGACACGCGCGCCTGGCGGCGCGCGCGGGCGGCCCGCATGTCTATATGTGATACTGCTTCGTGCGCTGGGTGCATGCTGGGCCAGCGCGGGTACACCACGTGGTGAGATGGGACTGCGGGTCCCCAGCGATATTGTCAAGTTCGTATGGTTTCGAGCATGAGTCCAGCCAGTGCGGGCGGAGAGACGTGTTGCAAGTTCATTCCGTCGAAGCGCGGGCGAAATGTGTGTGATATCGGTCTGATTTCGCCACTTGCGCGCTCTTGCCGGCTTCGTCGGTTTCAAAGGGTTATTTGCAACATAGTTTTCGCGATAGTTTTCTGCTTCAGCGGGATGAATGGGGGCGATATCCCATGCTTGTTTTGGATGGTATAGTACAGAGAACCAGCGACGAAAAAAAACAATGCGACGCGCAGTGTCCAAGGGGAGACCAAAAAGTCCGCGCGGGACACGGTGGTCAAGCACATATTGGGCGTTCCAAAAACGGCCTTGCCGTCGAGGATTGAATGAGTTGTCATCTCTTCCGCCGCAGAAGGCGGCGGAAAGCCGGCGAAAGTAAAACGAGGCTGCCTCCGCCGGCGGAAGCTCGGCGGAAGGTGGCGGAAACGAGGCAGAGGCAGCAATCGGCACCAGCGCGGGGCCAATCGGGGCAACCGATCGGCATGCTGTCCGGCGTGGCAGGAGGTAGAGGAGAAAGCGAGGGCGGCCGCGCGAAGGGAGAAGGAAGAGGTCCGACCAAACAGTCGCTCCCCAGCGTCTCGGCCATCCGGGGCTCCAGGGAGAAGGCGCTGATCCAGCCGGAGTTCGTCAGGCTCACCGAGAAGCAGCAGCAGCTCAGCGCGGACCACCGCCTCCGCGCGCCTCCGACTGGCCCGCGCTCCTCTTTGGCACGCCGCTCCGCCTGCCCTGAAGTCGGGCATGTCCCTCCTACAGGAGAAATATTCCAGGATAGTAAAACATGGTCTGGGGACAACTGTTCGTACTCTTCTGACGATTATTGAATGAATTTGGTTTCGTGTTTTTTCTTCCTTCCAAAATCCGCCTGTAGGAGGTGACATGACCGACCTAAACCCCTCCCCCTCGCCTGGGCCCTCCCAGGGCACCCCCCCAAGGGGCTCCCTGGGGCCCTCAAAGGAGGCCTCTGTAGGGTTCGGGAGGTGCGCCTGCCTCCCCCCCAATTAGATCGCCCCCCCATCATAAGCGACGCCCAACGTAGAGAACGCGATGGAAGGCCTCTGGCGACTTTCGGCCTCCACTGGCCCTCACCAGGCCCCTGGGCCGTCAAAGAACGACTCGGGATCAAGTGCGGGGCCTACAGGTACACACAGCCACCACCACCACCACCACCACCACCACCACCACCACCACCACCACCACCACCACCACCACCACCACCACCACCACCACCACCACCACCACCACCACCACCACCACCACCACCACCACCACCACCACACCACCACCAACCCACCACCAACCCACCAACCACCACCACCACACCACCACCAACCACCACCACCACCCACCACCACCACCACCACCACCACCACCACCACCACCACCACCACCACCACCACCACCACCACCACCACCACCACCACCTCCCTCACTCCCTCATCCCCTCCCCCTCTCGGGAAAGAGGAGAGGAATATGAGGGTGGAGGGGGGAGGGGGAATGGAGGTGGTGGTGGTGGTGGTGGTGGTGTATCTGACTGGGGCCCGCATCAAGTGCCAGCCCCGTGGATCCGAAGCCACCTCGGGCCCGGCGCCTGGGCGGCGGGCGCGGCGCGCCTGCCGGACGCGGACGCAGCCCGCGGCGAGGCCCCCAGAGGCCGCCGCGCCCACGGGAGCCGAGGCCCCGACGGCCGCCTCGGAGAGAGCCCAGAAGGCGACGGGCTCGGCGCTGCGCGCTGCCGGAGGGCCCCGGAACACCCTCGGCTGCCCCGTCGTGCGCGAGCAGAGCTTCCGAAGCCGCACAAGCGCAGCCGCCGCGCACTGCGGAGCAGCTGCCGCTGCCCGCAGTCGCTGCGCTCCCCGCTCTGCGGCCGCACGCACCACTCGCTCGCAGAGGCGGGGCGTCGACTGCGGGCCCGTCCTGCTCGAGATCCAGAGCCGAAGGAGACAAGCGTCGTAAACATAAGCTTTTTGCGCTCCACGCGGCTTCCTTGAATCCGCGCAGGGACCCCCCCCCGGCGGCGCCGCTGGCGCGCTCCGCGCGCCAGGGAGGGGGGTCCAGCGCAGATCCAAGAACTCCGCGCGCAGCGCCAAACGAAGATGACGACGACGGTGACGACGACGACGACGACGACGACGACGACGACGACGACGACGACGACGACGACGACGATGACGAGGCCAATGACGATGAGGATGACGTTTCTGTTGATGGCGTTGCTCCTTCGTCCGAAGAGCGCGCCCGTGGGCGTGGGCGCGAGCGGCGGTGCGGCGCAGCGGCTCGAGATGCTCCGCGGGACCCCGGGCCCCTGGCGCCAGGCGGCGGCGGCGGCTTCTCCCGTGGCGGGCCGTCGTGCCGCTGCCCAGGGGTAAAACAGGGCTAGGATCGGGATAAATCGCTCCAGAGCGTTCCGGAGCGCTCTCAGAGCGTTCCGAAACGCTCTGGAGCGGCCGCGGCGCCCAATGCATCCTCCAGACCCGCCGATTCTCAGAGAGTTCGAGTTGTCCCAATCCGATTTTGTCCCGATCTTCGCGTCGTTTTAACCAGGGGGGGGGCCCCCCCGCAGCCTGCCGTAAGCCTCCGCTCCGCGGCGCCGCCCTCTCGGAGGCAGGGCGGGGTTAACTGCCACCGCGGGGCTCGCGTCGACACCCCTCCGCTCCGATTCGGCTCCGATGTCGAGGCGTGGGCCGGGCCCAGCGGAGGGGCGCGCCTCGAAGCTCGCGCGTTGCCGCAACATGAGCGCCAGTGCGTGAGCCGCACGTCGGGCTGAGCAGCACTAAATCGCACGGAACAGCACGAAGTAGCACAGCACGACGATCACAAGTGCTGAAATAAGGTTCCCATGATTTGCCACCTGAGTTCCCGATCCCGAGCCGATTCGCTTTCGGATTCCGATCTGGGCTCCGCTTCCTCAGCGGAGGCCTGCTCGACCTTCCGATTCGATCCTGGGTCCTCCTGCCACCACCTCCAGTGGTGCCTCCAGCGAGGCCCACGACCGTCGGGGAAGAGCGCAAGACTCGAGGACGCCCGCAGCAGCGCGCCGTGCCGACGCTCTGCGACGACCGCGGCCGGGGCTCTGACGGCGCAGCTGATGTGGGCGGTCTGCAGCGGGATCTCGCGTGGACTCTCGGGTGCGGCCTCGTCGTTTCCAGGATGGCCCCGTCGGGCCAACCCGAGTCCCCCGAGCGCGAGTCTTGCTCAGGAGGGAAAACACACACAGACACAATGAATCGTCGACTCCCAGAAAATATGGGAAAATATGGGAAGTGGGGGGGGAGACACAAACACAGAAAACATGGGAAAATATGGGGAACCCTGTTATTTGTGTGTAGTTGTTTGTGTGTCCCAGTTCCCCCTCAGTTTGCGTCTCCCCGAGATTGGGGGAACACGTACAGCGCCACAGACTTCAAACGTGTCTGGGGTCCGCGCGGGCCTCCGAGCTTTTTTTTTGCTTGTGTGCCGTTGCGTGTGTCCCCGAGCGATGCTTTTTTTCCCGAGCTGGGGACACATTACCAGCCTGAAACACATCCCTATCCCTATGCTGGGCATCTCCCCATCACGATGCCAATCTCAGGGACTCCCCTATATTTTGCTTGTGCCGTTGCGTGTTCCCCGAGCGATGCTTTTCCCGAGCTGGGGATACATTACCCGCCTGGAACACATCCCCATCCCCATGCGGGGCATCTCCTCGTCACGATGCCAATCTCAGGGATTCCCTTATCTTTTGAGGGTGGATCCCCAAGATTGTTTGTGTGCCGTTGCGTGTTCTCCGAGCGATGCTTTTCCCGAGCTGGGGATACACTACCAGCCTGGAACAGATCCCTATCCCTATCCCTATGCTGGGCACCTCCTCGTCACGATGCCAATCTCAGGGACTCCCCTATCTTTCGAGGGCGAACCCCCAAGAGTGTCACCGCCTTCTGGCGTGTCAATCTTAGGGATAGGGATAAGCTCGAGGCTGGGAAATGCAGTGAGGGCGCGGAGACAAGGGCCGCTGTGGGGAGGGGCTGGGGTCTCGGGGCCATGCCAGCGTCGGGGAGAACCCGCTCGCAGCCCGGGCTCGCCGTTGGCCCGAGGGGCCCCTTCGCGTTTCGTCCGCCGCCCCTCCGGACGGCACGAGGGTTTTGCAGGGCATGTCTCGAGCAGCGAGGGTGGACCACACGACCAGGAGGATCCCCCCCTGTCTTCTCCTCGCGTCGGCGGTGGTTGTGCCTTCTTTTGTTTCTCTCCCTCTCTCTCTCTCTCTCTCTCTCTCCTCGCCCTCCCTCCTTCGAATGCCCTCCTCACGCTTCCTCACTATCTCTCCTCGCCTTCGTCCTCCTCTCTCCTCCGCCCCTCCCGCGAGAATTCGGTTCCATAGGCCGCTCCTGCTCCCTCCCTCGAAGTGAGCCTCCTAGCGCCGCGGGCGATCCAGAATCGTTCGATGTGGAACGATTCGGACGTTTCGGAAACGGCCGACCGTTCAAGGTTGAACGATCCCCGCGGTGTCAGAAACCAACGCCGAAGTCGGCACGACACGAACCTGACGTACCATCGTCCTCCTTTCTCCTCCGCCCCCCCGCGAAGCAGGTTCTAGGCCGCTCCTGCTCCCTCCCTCCCTCGAAGAGAGCCTCCTCTTCTTGCCAGACTCCTCGGCTACGACGTGTGCAGCTCGTACCTCGTACTCATCCCTCGTCCCCGCCCTCTTCCCCTCCCTATCCTCGATCTGAGGCCAGTCCCCAGTGAAACTTGGTTTTGCCTGTTCAGCTTGCTTCTTTCTGTTGCCAGCTAGGTATCGACCACGCTCGCAGGACAACTCCTGCGGGGGTCATACTTTTTGTCGACGGCGCGTCTGGCGAGGAGGCCAGTTACGTGAATATTTGCTGTCCGCTCCCATCTCCCCCCCCCCGAACAAAAAAAACTCCTTCCCCCTCCTGCAGCCGCCGGATCCTCCTCCTCCTCCTCACCCTTCCCTTTCTCCTCCGCCTCCGCCTCCACCTCCCCCTCCCCCTCCTCCTCGTCCTCCTCCTCCTCCTCCTCCTCGTCCTCCTACCCCTCCCTTTCGTTCTCCTCCTCCTCTCCTCCTTATCCTCCTCCTCCTCCTCCTCCTCCTCCTCCTCCTCCCTCCTCCTCCTCCCTCCCTCCTCCCCTCCCCCCCCTCCCTCTCCTCCTCCTCCTCCTCCTCCTCCTCCTCCTCCTCCTCCTCCTCCTCCTCCTCCTCCTCCTCCTCCTCCGTCCCCCTCTCTCTGCCAAGTTTGCCCCTTTGCGCCTTGCGGGCGCGGCGCGGGGCACGGGGGGGGAGGCGGGGGCCGGCCCGAGCGCGGCGGCGAGCGCGCCCGCCGCAGCGCAGAGAGCGGCGGCGCGGGGCGCCGCACGCCGTGCGCGCGCGCAGCCGGCCAGAGCTTGCCACCGGGTTTCGCCACGAGCTGCGAGGGCTCGAAGAGTCCTCAAACGACGCGAAGATCGGGACAAATTCGGATCGGGATAACCCGAAATCTCTGAGAATCGGCGGGTTTGGAGGATGTATTGGGCGCCGCGGCCGCTCCAGAGCGTTTCGGAACGCTCTGAGAGCGCTCCGGAACGCTCTGGAGCGATTTATCCCGATCCTAGCCCTGTTTTAAGTCCCAGAAAAGAAAACAGAGCAAATGAACATCAGCAACGAAACAGTTTTTCAGACAAGAACGATGCCTTCTGGTTGTGTGTGCTGCCTGCCGTGCTTGTTGCTGTTCCCTTGTTTTTGCTGCTCTGCTCTCCCCCTCCAGGCTGATCTGCACACTGCGATCACTACGGTCAGCCCGCACAGTAAGGATGGGCGACCTTCCCAGGGGTGCCCTTGCGTCCTTGCCTCCCCAGTCCATCCTTGGCCACTTTCGTTGGCCGCGCCCCGCTCGAAAAAGCTTCGACGTGGGCGTCCAATGTACTTGCATCCTTATCGCGCATCCTTCCTGTACGGGTTGACTGCGCAGCCGTGACACTGAAGTAAGGACCACTTCGGGCTCAGGAGGGGCTCCGGTTTTCGGGCCGCTGACGAGAGGTCAGTCCGAATTCCTGACTCTGGCGGAGCATCGCCGTGCGCTCATCTCGTCCCTTATCCAGGCGGGCGCCATCTCCTCACTCCTCGGGGGAGAAAAAGATACGGATACGTGTTGTCCCCCTTCGTTTTCGGCCTTTCCTGGTCCTCCTGGGGAATCCTCGTTGTCTCCGCTGGATTCGCCTCGAAATTCTGGTCAGAACGCACCCCAAGAGAGGTCCGGGGACAACACGTATCCGTATCTTTGCGCCCCCCAAACTCCCGTGATGTCGTTCTGGGATGGGGGGATGGTTCCGCGTGTTCTGTCCTCTTGTCCTCTTCCTTGCACGGTCTGCGCCCAACGTTTCTGCGACGCTTGTACAATTCGCAGCCGGACTATGACAAGGGTGGCTCTCTCTGGTGCTGCCTTTCGACACAGGTCATCATTTGCACAGATCCTCCGTCCAACGCTTCGACGCCGACACCGCGGCTCCGGCAATTGTGGCTGCACCCCCTGCCTGCAATCATAACTTTTGCTGTTTTTGAGAAGCGGTATTCTCGCTGGTGCGCTTGCCTTTGTTTCATGTTCTCTAGGGGTCCTCCACCCAACGCAGCGTCGCTGTCGCCGCCGCTGCGGCACTGATGGTCGTATTTTTGCATCGGCAGAAGCATGAGCATGGCTGCGCAATACTGTTTCATCTTGCCATATCACTTGTATTGCTTACCCTCCGTATAAGCCAGGGGTTGCCCGCCAGCGTTGAGGACACGAGCCCCAGAAGATAACTCCCTTCTCCTCCCCCCCCGCTTCCCTGGCCTTCTCTTCTTTTGGCTCCATGAAGGAAGGTGATAGCTGGCTGTTTTGCCAGGTCTCTCCCGACACTTGACTCTGCGAACAGAGAGAGGGTCAACGCAATGGGAGGGGTATGGGAGAGAAGGCAGTAAGCGGCGGAACTTGGTGCTCGACCATGCAGAGCTTGTCGCACTTTCATCGTTACCCGAGCATGTTATGTGTGGAAGTGTACATTGCAAGAGAATCGAGGGCAGGAGACAGAGAGGAGTGTGTACGACATGTGTCCGTGTGAAGATGGGGGGACGGCATTCATACGTCCGTAGGCTTTGAAGTCGGTGGAAGTTGAAGAGGGTGAGTCCTCAGGTAGCAAACTTCCCGTCATACAGCGTCCTGTCCCAAAAGTTCAGTGATGCGCACAGCGTGTGTTTATTTGTGCAGGTCCCACCTTCGCATTTCCGCACCCGTATCTTGCAGGATGGAGACCAGGAGAAGATGGCTGAGAACAACAAAAAGCTGCAGGCTTTCCAGCAAAAGCATGGCAAGTTCTTCATGCTCAAAGGCGCCCCATTGAACATTGAATGGCTGCCTTGGGACATGTTTGCGTGTGTGTGGATCGCAGCAACCTCCGCCCAGGCCAGGCACACTGCGTGCCGTTTCTCCAGCTTCGCTCCCCTGATCGGGCTACCCCCACGGCCGACCCCTCCCGAGACCCCGTCGCGTCGCTCTCATGGCCGCCTTCCTCGCGGAGGTCCTCCACAGGCGACCACGCGGCCGCCCGGCACTCACCACCCGCGTCTCCACCCCTGACCCACCCCCGGCACCACCCTGGCGCCGGCCGGTCGGGACGGCGCCCGCGGTGCCTCCCTGCGCAGCCCCCAACCCCCCGGCCCCGCCGTCTGCACCGACGAGGTCTTGCGGCCACGCCCCTGCCGCGCCTCTGGCTCCGAGCGGAGCCCTGCCACGACGGTTCGTTCCCCCATGTGGGTGCCCGCGCGGATAGACGACCGCCCTGCGGCCTTCCCGCCCGCGGAACCGGGCGAGGCCGTGCGTCTCGTGCGCCGGGACGGTGCGGATCAGGCTTGGGCGGAGTTTCTCGTCTCCGCTGCCCCCCCCGCACTCCCCTGCGCCTGGCGCCTGGCGCCGACCCCCGGCTGTACATGACCCGGTCGTTTGGCGCGAGCACCGCACCGCGTCGCCGCTCCCTCGGCGACGCGGCCTGGTCCAGAGTCGGATGTTCTCCATGCCGCAGTCGCCGATGCATCGCCGATGTGGCGCGGTGATCCCCCGACGTCCTCCTCCGACGGCACCCGCTCGGGCCCCACGCGGGAGGCCCTCGTCCTCGGCGCCGGGGCCCCTTTGTTGCCGAGGTGCAGCGGAGCCAAGAGGGCCCTGCTCGGCTTCCCGAGTGCCTGGCAGAGGGCCAGCCGGGAGAGGTTCTCGTTGTAATTAAGGGGTGCGTGTGCGACCAACTCTGCCAGCCATTCCGCGCCCACCAGCCAAGCCTTCCCCGTGGCGCCCACCCACGCGGAAGGCACAGGCCTGGCCCGCGCACCTCGGAACGTGACGTGCGCATGAGGAGTGTTGGAGGTCAGGGTAGGTGATGCTTGTTCTTATTATTCTTATCATGTTTCTTCTTACTATCATATTATTTTTATCATTATTATTAATAATAATTATTATTATTATTATTATTAGTATTATTACTAGTATTATTATCATTATCATTATCATTCTTATCATTATCAGTATTATTCTTATTCTTATTTAGATGAGCGTTGAAGGTCAGGGTAGGTGATGCTTGCCTGGGGGGCGCGCGGAGGGCCTTTCCATCCCGCGCTGGTCTTGCCTATCCCTGGTCCGCCGCGGAGGCACCGGGAACCTCATCCTCGTCCAGGAGGGCAGCGGACGGGCCGACGGGGAGCGCGAGCACTGCGGCAAGCGGCGCAGACGCGCGCAGAAGCGAAGGCCAGGTACAGATCAGGAGCAAAGCATGCGGCGGAAGTGCATGGCGCGCTCCAGGAAGGCCAGCGGAAGATGGCAGAAGTAAGCCCGATACCGATGCGCCAACATGTTTGGGTACAGGGTTGCAGGAGTCGGTCATGTGCTCAAGTTCAGGGGCAGAGACGCAAGGAGGATGAGGAGGGGAATGAGAAGCATGAGCGGAGGGCGCGATGAGATGTTTGTGCCCGCCCCCTTGCAGGTGACCCCCCTCTGTCGATTGATTGCGTCACCGGATTCGTTGGGTTGGTCAGTTTGTCGAGTGGCTGATTGGATGACAGGAAGACCACTTGGCTGCTTGCCTGCTTAGCTGGGTGTCTGACTCTCCCAGGTTCTAAGGGTATCTGGTTGTTTTGCTGGGTGGTGGGCAGGCTTGCTGGCCAGTCTGACGGCAGCCTTGTTGGCTGGCGGGCCCGGAGCGCGGACCGTTAGCTGTTGTGCTAAGACATTTGCTGCTGCAGCGCGGCTCCGTGACTTGCCCTTGCGAGGCCTTGTGGTCCTCGGGAGCGCGGGTCCGGAGATGGCTCTGGCTTGCCAGCGAGCGTCGCCTCGGGGGCGCGGCGCTACAGGTCAAACCGAAATATACCTTAGTCTCGGAGGCGCAGGCCCATCGCTTTTGCCAGTGACCGTGGCCCCGGGAGCACGGATCCGTCGTTTTGTTTTTGTTTGTTTGTTTGTTTTTTTGTTCGGAGCGTGCATCCGCTGTTTTTCTTAGAACCCACCGGCGGTAGGTTCTGATTCTGGGCTCGGCCGCTGTGCTCTCAGGCTTGCGCGTTGCGAATTTGACAGGCCCGTGGCCCGGACCCCTCAGCTCGGCGACTGCGAATCCCCGCCCGCGACCCCAAAAAAACACCCGCTGTTTTTCGGGGGCGCAGGCCCATCGCTTTTGCAAGTGACCGTGGCCCCGGGAGCACGGATCCGTCGTTTTGTTGTTGTTTTTTTGTTTTTGCTCGAAGCGTGTATCCGCTGTTTATCTTAGAACCCACCGGCGGTAGGTTCTGATTCCGGGCTCGGCCGCTGTGCTCTCAGGCTTGCGCGTTGCGAATTTGACAGGCCCGTGGCCCGGACCCCTCAGCTCGGCGACTGCGAACCCCCGCCCGCGACCCCAAAAAAACACCCGCTGGTTTTCGGAGGCGCAGGCCCATCGTTTTTGTAAGTGACCGTGGCCCCGGGAGCACGGATCCGTCGTTTTGTTGTTGTTGTTGTTGTTGTTGTGGTTGTGGTTGTTGTTGTTGTTGTTATGGTTGTTGTTGTTGTTGTTGTTGTTGTTGTTGTTGTTGTTGTTGTTGTTGTTGTTGTTGTTGTTGTTGTTGTTGTTGTTGTTGTTGTTATTTGTTGTTGTTGTTGTTGTTGTTGTTGTTGTTGTTGTTGTTGTTGTTGTTGTTTTTTGTTTTTGTTCGAAGCGTGCATCCGCTGTTTTTCTTAGAACCCACCGGCGGTAGGTTCTGATTCCGGGCTCGGCCGCTGTGCTCTCAGGCTTGCGCGTTGCGAATTTGACAGGCCCGTGGCCCGGACCCCTCAGCTCGGCGACTGCGAATCCCCGCCCGCGACCCCAACAAAAACACCCGCTGTTTTTCGGAGGCGCAGGCCCATCGCTTTTGCAAGTGACCGTGGCCCCGGGAGCACGGATCCGTCGTTTTGTTGTTGTTGTTTTTTTGTTTTTGTTCGAAGCGTGCATCCGTTGTTTTTTAAGGAGGTGGCGCTGCCTCGGGCACGCGGGCTCGGGCCTCCCGCTCCTGTTTCTCGCAGGGCGTGTCGCGGCGTCGTCGCGGGCCACTGCGGGCCTGCCGGGTCGGCCGCAGGGGGAGGGGGGGGGGGCACACGGAGCGGGAAGGGGGATGCGAGAGACCTGCTGCATGCAAAAGGCATCGTTACGTTGCGTCTTCGGGGGACCTCGCCTGTCCCCCAAATTGGTGTTTTTCCTCGTGCCCGACGCGGGCTCGATGCGGACTCGACGCAGATTTGGCGTGGATTCGACGCGGATTCGACACGGATCCGTCACGGATCCGACGAGGCCGACATGGGTTCGACACGGATTCGACGCGGACAGGGCCGCGACGGGACAGACAAGGTCCCCCGATGATGCAACACAAGTATCTGCCGCCGGCCGCGCTGTCGAAGAATGCGCCTGGCGGCGGGGTCGATACCAGCGGCATGCAGCAGGTGTTCACCCCCCCATCGAAGACCCCAAACGTGCGCACAAATAGAAACGTGTGGAGGTCCGCACGGGTTTTCTTGGGTCGGCCTTGGGCACCTCCTGGCGGCGCGTTCGGCGCCGCCCGTGGCGCGGTACACGCGCGATCCGAGACATCCGCGCGGACGTCCGGAAGTTTATGTTTGTGCAGGTTGTTGTTTCTGTATTGTGCTCGTGCCTCTGTCCTGTCAGAGGGGTTCGACCTAGAGACCACGTCGTTTGGTCGGCCAGGGAGCCAAGGGCGAAGGAATTCGGGGCAGGCAGCTGCGGCGTGTGTAAATACGATAACTATATATACACATATATATATATGGGTATACATATACATATACATTATATATAGAGAGATAGACATACACATATATAACACGTGTATTTGATTTTGATATATATACATATATATACATATATTCAGATATATAGACTTTCGTGACAATGTTGGCTCAAGCCAGGCTTGGCCTTGTGTTTCAACGGAATATTTTGCATGCCTTCGATTCTTAATCTCATGGGCGGCCTGCGCTGCATCCTGGTAAACATGCGGTTGTGCATTCACTTCTGGGTGGTGCAGCTCTTCGGGGTTGAGTTCGCGTCTACCGCTGCCGCCGTGGCTACATCTGGTGGGCTTTTGCGTTTCCTGAGGCCCATCCACCGGTGTGCTAACAGAGCCAAGCATGCTCAGTTTCTGGCTCCTCTTCCTGGACTCTGATCGCGTGCCGAACACAAGCGGAAGCCCACTGACGTGGATTTTTTCGATTGCGAGGAGGTGATCACGCTGCACCTGGCTGACTATCTCAAGGTGGACGGCTATGTGGGACCTCGCGATGGGTGTCTTAGTGCTTCGGCGTCGGTCTTTTCTCCAGCTGCAGGGGCTAATTATTTGCATTCTAGTGTCCATGCAGGGGCTAATTCTTTGCAGTCTAATTGCCCTCCTGCTCTTGCACTTGCAGGCTTTGTTGGTGTGTATGTGTATGTGTGTATATATATATATATATACCATATATATATATATATATATATATATATGTGCGCAGCTCCTCTTATCCCTCAACGCGAGCCTTCTGTCGAAAAGGGGAGCCATGCAGTCGCTAATCGAGGCACAGAACACTACCATCGCTCTCTCTTGTCACAGCATCTGGACAAAGGGACGTAGGCCGACAAGCACGACGTGTCCTACTACTCCGAGCTCGACGCCAGGGTCACGGGGTTGGCCAGGTCTCTGGGGCGCGCGGTGAGCGAGTCCATGGGCCTCCGGTTGTCATCTCAGCTGGAGTCACTGGAGAGGAATAACACCGCGAAGGAGATCCAGCAAGTGCTTCCGCCCATGGTCGACAACGTGGTCAAGCAGTCTCTCGCGCCCCTCGCCGAGGACATCATCGGCAAGAGCGAGGTTTGAAGCGCGAAGCTGGAGGAGCAGCTCGAGAACAGGCAGCGCTCCTTCAAGCAAGAGGTGCTGCGCATAGTCGAATCCAAGGTGCGCGCTTGTGGCTCATCTGTGGCGAGCGCTCCTCCTTCGCACGGTCGTGGGCTCGCCGCCGCTTGCAGGTGCTGCCAGAGAGCGGCCCACCATCAAGAAGGGCTTCCTGACGGGTGCTGCGCGGACGCTCTCTGGCGCAGCAGGCTCCGATGAAGGGGGCAGCCTGGCGCTTCTTCGGCATGCGCTTGTGGTGCAGGCGTTCCAGATTGCATGTTCTGCGCTGGTGTTGGACTTTCCTCTAGGCCACAGACTGCCTTCACAGCGGGGTCGGCCCGCCTAACGACTACGAATGCTGAGCTGGCTGCCGCCTGCTCCGCCTAGAACTAACAAGACAGATTGTGGCGGAGAGTACGAGCGATACATATATATATATACATAGACATACATTGATATATATATATATATATATATATATATATATAGATATAGATTGTAGTGGCCTTCGGCCAGTGCCGCCGATCCGGGTCGCTCGGTGTTATTCTCCAGACGCAGACATTATGGGCGCACACTCAAACGCACAAACTTCTCGGGTTACCTTCGAAAGGGCGTAGGAATGCAGTTGGGTCAATAGAGCCATCTCACAACAGTGGTTCTATCAACGGCGGGGTGCTTGCAGTGACCGTGGGGACGGGAAATAATAATGACATGAAAATTCCATACAGGATGCCGATCACTTTGGAAACTCACGATACGTCGTGCACGGAGTCGTGTTACGAAACATGTGGCCTGGACGATGTGGTGCGAGCGGTGGAGGCGAGCCTATCGGCGCAAGGACGCCCTCTTGGGGCGTTTTTTGAGCCATCTTAGGAGCCTGTCAGGGCGTCGTGGGGGCTTCTTGGGGGCTTTCGGAGGCCCTCTTGGAGGCTCTTGGGGCCTCCTGGGGGCCTCGTGGGCTGGAAGGCTAGATTTTTTGTCCGCTTTTCGTCCCTCTTTTGGGTCTTCTTGGGGCCGTCTTGGGGGCCTGTTGGGCCGTCCTGGGCGGCTCTTGGGCCGCCTTGGGGCCCTCTTGGGCCGTCTTGGGACTGTCTGGGGGCCTCCTGGGCCGTCTTCGAGCGGTCTTGGGGGCCTCTTGGGCCGTCTTGGAGCGTCGGAAAGCCGAAAAAAGCGACAACCCCAAAAACATTGAAAAAAAACAAATGAAATCAACAATTTTTGCCTCTGGGGGCCATCGTGGGAGGCCTCTTGGAGGCCTCTTCAGCCGTCGTGGAAGACTCTTGGGCCGTCTTGGGGCCATCTTGGGCGTGTTTGGGCGATCCTTCGGGGTCTCGGGACTTTCGTAGACCGTCCTCAGAAACTTTTGCGGCCGCGGCCACCCTTCCAGCGCATCCTCGAGATTAGAGCCTTCTGTAAAAGCAGCGCCCCGCATCCGCCGGAAACTCGCCCCCCCCCCCATCCCCCCTTCCCCGGCAGAGCCACCCCGGCAACCCCCCCAGAGGCTGAGGCTCAGCCTCGAGGCTGTAGCTGAGACTCCTTGAAACTCACACGCCGGATCGGCGGATACACACACACACACACATATATATATATATATATATATATATATATATACATATATATATATATATATACAGATCGGGGTGTATACACCGAGCCCTTCACACCCCTCCCCCCCTCTTCGTCCGATTTGAGTATGAGGGTCTACTCTGCGGCGCGTTGCCCCGTCTGACGGCACGGAGGAAGCACGGATGGCTTTCCTTCTGCGGTGCAGCGGCGTCGTGGCGGTTGTGCTAGGGGTAGAGCGGGCCGGGAGTGGGAGCTCCAGGAGCAGCAACAGCCGCGGGAGGAGGAGGAAGAGGAGGAGGATGAGGAAGAGGTGGAGGAGTTGGGGGAGGAGGAGGAGGAGGAGGAGGAGGAGGAGGAGGGAGGAGGAGGAGGAGAAGGGGGAGTAGGAGGAGGGGGGGGGGAGGGGGGGGGAGCGTGGGCAACTGGCAAAAGGGGGCGATGGGCTCCTGGGGGAGAATGGATCCACCCACCGATCGGGGCCCGACTGGAACCTGCTCGGCCTGACTTCTTGTCATCGGGGGCCCACTGCTGATCTATCGGCGATGTCCACCGACGAGGTGGGTTACCCCCGCTGAGCGGGTCCCCACTCGGCGCGTTGCCCCTCAAAGGAGGGAGTGGACGAGGACCGGGAGGCGGGGAACGACCACTGGCGAGGAGGAGGAGAAGGGCGGTGGGCGCTTGGTACCAGGCCCTCTTCGGGGTTCCCCCGCGCGCGCAGGCGCGCGAGCGCCGAAGCTGAAGACTCCACGTCGACGCCGTCGACGTCGTCGTCGCCATCGCGCCGCGAGTCACGACGACGAGTCATGTTTGGCTTGTTGCGGCCTCCAGTGGCCCCTTTCCGGGTGCCAGGGCCGTCGGCAGTGGCTCGGGATGGGAACCTTTTGGGGGGGAAGAAGCGACTGGGGAGTCACAGGGGGGGGGAGCGGAGGGGGAGTTGTATGGGGGATGAAGGAGGGGAGGAGAAAAGGGGGGAGGAGGGGGGGGACCCAGGAGTAGGGAGAGCGGGATGGGGAGGGGCGGGGGCAGGGGGCACGAGCAGGAGGGGACGCCGCCGTGGGTGCAGGCAGGGCCTCGGCGGCCCCACGCACCCCCCCCCCCCCCGCGTCGTCGCCCAGGCCCCCGCCCTCCGCACCCACGCGACCGCGACTGCCGTGTCTGCCCCATGGTGCTGCTCGGAGGAGCTGGAGGAGGAGAGGAGGAGGAGGTGGAGGAGGAGGGGGGAGGAGGAGGAGGTGGCGGAGGAGGGGGAGGTGGCGGAGGAGGAGGAGGGGAGGAGGAGGAGGTGGCGGGGGTGGGGAAGGGGGGGGAGGAGGAGGCTTGCGGAGAAGCGCTCGAGGAAGGTGGCGGAGGTGGTCTATGCATATTCAGGGTTTGAGGAGGAGGAGGAGGAGGAGGAGGAGGAGGAGGAGGAGGAGGAGGAGGAGGCGATTGGTGGAGGAGGAGGGGGGCAGGAAGAAGGGAGGAGCTAAGGAGAGAGCAGGAAGGGGGAAGCAGAGCTACGGTCCCCATCCCGTTCGCAGTCCCGTCCCCAGTCTCGCCGGCATCCACATCCGTGTCTCAAGGTCCCGAGCGCGATGCCCCGTCCCCATGCCCATCCTCCCTGCAGCCCCCTTCCCTCCTGCCTCCCTTCCCATCAGCTCTCCCCATTCACCCCACTCTCTCTCTCCTCCCCATCGCCCTCACCCTCCTCCTGCCCCCCTCGACATCCTTGCGCGGGACCCGGGACCGTCCAGAAAGACTCCGAGGTTAAGAGCTAGTCCCTCGGAAGGGGCCCAGAAAGCTGGGGAGCCACGCTGGCGGACAAAAAACACGGCATTGGATGTCCGGGCCTTCCTCCCCCTCACGGGGCGCCATGGTCTAGGCCTCCCAGGTGAGGTCCGAGTAGATGGGGCCGGAGGATCGCGCCGCATCGCCGATGCATCGACGATGCGGCTCCATGTGGAGCCCGTGTTTCCTACGCCGACGTCACCGATGCATCGCCGACGTCGCCGATGCATGGCCGGTGCATCGCCGATACGTCGCTGATACATCGCCGATGCATCAGCGATGTATCGGCGCGATCCTCCGTTCCCATATACTCCGACCCCATCTAGGACGCAGTGGGCCCCAGAAACAGCAGGGCCGTTTTTAAACAATTTCCGGAAAGTGCTCCTTGAACATGGAAACGGCAACAAAACGGCGACCAGAAACGGCAACAAAACCGGCTCCGGGATTGGAGAGCCGGAACCGGTGA